AATCATGTACTCTTTTTCCCTTGGCTAATTTTTTTCTCCCCTGTCGGGTTTTTATTAGCAAGGTTTTTAATGAAGCATGTAGTAATGTCCAAGGGGAAGTGTTATAAATATATTAATATGGATATTACTAATATACATAATTGGGCCTGAAGTCCATTAGTTAGTAGGATTAGGTTTTAGAGTTTCTCCCTTTATAAACTCTATAAAAGAGTGAATACCGATGAATAATATACACACTTTTCTGCTTCTCTTCTCTTGTTCTCTTTACAGCATATTTTTACATATTTGGTTGATTGATGGATGCTTGGTGAATATTGAGGACTCCAATTTACAACAAAAAGTAATTACTATAACAACGTTAAAAATAGTTGCAATACTCTTCTAACTAATTAATCGTATGGTCTCTCTAAATTACAAAATTACATTGTTCATTAAATTATATTGTTCACATGAAAGTTAAATAATTTATATTTATATTGTACATTTGTGTATAGTCAAAAATTTTAAAATATAATACATTCATTATCCAATTTAAAATTTTAATTACTGTATATATACATATCTGTGCATATGCACAGGGCCTAATACTAGTTTATCTAAGAATTAAATTTTGAGATAAGTAAATTATTTCATAGCATGCCTTCAATTTTTTTCTTTCTACAATCAGCCCATCACAAAATATTGTGCATGCGCTTACCAACGGGCACACAGATATCACGCGCACATACAGAACAGAACCTATGGAGAAATCGGAGAGGAGGAAGAAGATAATCTCTCAAGGCACAGATCGATTGGCGCTGATAACGGGCCGGATCCAAGCCCTCGATCCGGATCCGCCATTCAAGTCCACCTCATTTTCCACCCCGCGACGCGATCCTCCACCCGCCATACACGCGCGCTCGTCATCGGAACCTCGGGCCGCCGCTAATCAGGAGCCTTTGCTCTCGGACCACCATCTCCTTGGTAATTGCTTTCTGAAATTTTCATGTTGCCTAATTTTTCGACATGTCTGTGTACATGTCGTTTATTGGCGTTGTTTAAGGCTGCAGCAATTGGCCCGTCAAATACCAGTTCGTTTGTAATTGCCCCCTTTTTTACCTTAAATTTTCCATGTTCATGTGCCCTAAGCTAAGAATATGTTATGTGAATTTTACCTGCATTTGGCATTTGCTGAAAAATAGTGCAATACTTGATATTGGAATAATGTTATTATAAAATTGGGGGTTGAACAGTCTATACTGATTAATTTTTTCTGTAATTGCTTGGCTTTATTTGTAATTGTTAGATTGGGTTAGATGACTTAATATAACTGACTGCAATCAGTCCAGTTAGTTCCAGTAATAGTTTACTATATGATGCCGGTTAACCGTGGCGTAAAAAAAAAATTTGATGCTACGAAGATCAGTGTTATCAAGGTTCTGCCATGGCAGAGCTGTGGGTTATGGCGTGGCGGAGTTTCGCCTAACCGCAGTTAGAATTTTGTGGAGGACACCGTTGATAACATTGTGTGAGATGAACTTGTCAACACGTAGACTGATACTCATGAGCTATTAATGATTGAATGAAGTAATTAAAGATTTTTTTTAAAAAAAAAATAATATTAATTTTCTGCTATGTTTCCCTGATTTAAAATTTTGATTATGAAGCTGGAGCCGACTCGCCTGATTCAATAACAAGACATGATAACAGTGAAGAATTTCAAAAGGAATATTATTCTGAGTCCAACGTGGGCAAACATGAGGGAAAAGAAGCCGCTGGATTAAGACCAGAGTGCACAAAGTTACCTGAGAAACCCCTGGTCCATCTTTTTCGTTCCATATCTCTAAACGAAATAAATTTCAGCATAATCTCGTCTGAAGACACGCGCGCAATCTGTTCTGTCGTGTTGGCAATTCTTGTTGTTCTATCTTACATCACTCTCCCTCCTAATGAGGTGAAGCCGAAAAGTCTTCTTGCTTATAAGCCTCTCTATGCGGTACTGCTAACAGACGTGTTTATAGTTTGTGTAAAACTAGCTCCTTATGCACAAACGAGGAAAGAATGTGTTATGGAGCCGAAAATCAAGGAGGATGACGATAACTGGGGAGGTGCCGTTAAGCTGTTGGAGTTCGGGTTGGTGTTGCACCAGACAATACGTGCTCTGTTTATAGATTGTAGCTTTTATTTTGTGGTGGTTGTATTTGGCCTTTCTATGGTGTAAGCACACACGATTTTTGTGAAGAAAAAGCTCAGACAACTTCCAGTCATGTAAGTCCCTTTTATTTTATTTTATTTATTTATTTTTTTATTTTTTTGATAAATGCCACAATTATATGTTGCTATGTTGATGATTAGTAATTGAATAGGTGAAAAAAAAAAATCCTAGATATCTGTCGAAATATGAAAACTGCATGAAGAGTTGTCTGTTTTAGATATATGACATTCAAGACAGGTGTGTAAAGCTCAATTGGGTGCTTGTAACATTGTAAGGGAAACTATGCAAATTCGACAGATAGATAGATTGAGCTGTTTACTATTAGACTAAAAAGCAGGTGTACTTTGTTATTTCCTCTTCATTACTCAGTAAACCTATTCTTTTTTCGTCTTCTCTTCGGGTTCTTACGTTCAAGTAATTTCAAGATTTGTGTTCATGATGTTGTTCGGTTATAAGAACATAGATACGTGCAATACAGTACTTACATATGCAAAATTTTGAACGAGTTCACGTGATCGCAGAACTAGCATGCAACTGAAAGTACCCAAAATACAATATAGTTTTTCTCCTTGGTATACTATTTTATAGCGCTCCATAAATCACAAGAAGATAAACGAATTATCTGATCTCCCATACTGCTCGTCTACTTTGTTTTGTATATTCTATCCGGGCATAGTCCGTGTTCAGGTGATTAGGTTTATTATTAATTGTGCTTTTGTCCCCTCTGCAGAATAGAAGCCGCAAGAGTGTGGGACTGTGGACAATGCAAAGGCTTTCTTTTGCTTAGTTGTTTTGGGCTATCAGGCACAGAAAATTGACTAAAACAAGGATTTAAATCAATTTTGCAGGTTCGTTGTTACTTGGATAGGTAGTTTGGGTAACACATGTTGTTTGAAAAGAGCGTACGACGTCTGAGGAAAAAGAAAAAAAAAATAAAAAGAACTAATCATTGTAATGTGTATTTAGATGGACAATAATATCTACACTTCTTTAATTATGTATCTTGAACGACTCCTGAGGTGATGAATTTAGTTTAGCAATGATAAATAAATAAATATATTGTGAATGAAATTAGTTTATTGGAGGACGATTTTCTTGTATCATATGTGCTTTAATTTCATCAATTTCAGGATCTGGTACAACACCTATGCCAATTAATAATTTTATATCAATTAATCAGTCAAAGAGTTGTTAAAATCCTCACTAAGTGGGGTCCGTTATATGGATTGCATGCGGTCATCGTGCTCGATTGATTCACACATCCTCATTTAAATTTAAGTAATTTAAATCAGATTTTATTGCCTCATTTCAAGCTTTTTTAGGTCTATTCTCCCCCCATTCTTTTTAATTTGCGTTCTTAATTCTGATGTTTCTACCCCTCACCGGTGCCTCTAAGTCTCTCATACGAACATTGCAAAACCATCTTAACCGTGCTTCTCTCATTTTCTCCTCTATGGGCGCTACCCTAACTTTATTTTAATACTTTTGTTTCTAATCTTATCTAACCTAGTATGCTCACACACTCATCTCAACTTTCACATTTCTGTCACTCGCATTTTTTTTTATCATTTTCATATTTAGTAGCTCAACACTCGGACCCATAAAGTATTGTCGGTCGGTTGGTCGTTCTATAGAACTTGCATTTCAATCTCAGTTGTACTTTACGATCATAAAGTATTGAAGATGCGTTCCTCCAATTCTTACAACCAGATTGAATTCTATGTGTTCTACCCTTATCTATGTTGTCACTATATTCTATAATGAATCCTAAATATTTAAAACTTTTAGATGTGTTCGATTAGTGTTATCCAATTTTAATATTTACCTTATTATTACTCATTTGATTACTAAATTACACGCCATATATATATATATATGAGAAAATAGCTATTTTCACCCCGTTCTGAAGTCAAACTAAGTTTTTCACACCACCCAATAAAAAGCTAAGTTTTTCACCCCAAAAAGTACGAAGACATATGCGATGAAACATGCGCTAAATAGGCGACAGGTATGAGCATGGGCG